AGCCGGCCTCGTGACCTAGCATCAAGAGCCGCCCTCCAGAGCCGGCCTCGTGAACTAGCATCAAGAGCTGGCCTCGTGACCTAGCATCAAGAGCCGGCCTCATGACCTAGCATCAAGAGCCGGCCTCGTGACCTAGCATCAAGAGTCGGCCTCGTGACCTAGCATCAAGAGTCGGCCTCGTGACCTAGCATCAAGAGCCGGCCTCATGACCTAGCATCAAGAGCCACCCTCCAGAGCTGGCCTCGTGACCTAGCATCAAGAGCCGGCCTCATGACCTAGCATCAAGAGTCGGCCTCGTGACCTAGCATCAAGAGTCGGCCTCGTGACCTAGCATCAAGAGCCACCCTCCAGAGCCGGCCTCATGACCTAGAATCAAGAGCCGGTCTCGTGACCTAGCATCAAGAGCCACCCTCCAGAGCTGGCCTCATGACCTAGCATCAAGAGTCGGCCTCGTGACCTAGCATCAAGAGCCACCCTCCAGAGCCGGCCTCCAGAGCTAGCATCAAGAGTCGGTTCCATGACCTAGCATCAAAAGCCCGCCTCCAGAGCTAGCATCAAGAGCCGACCTCGTGACCTAGCATCAAGAGCCGGCCTCGTGACCTAGCATCAAGAGCCGCCCTCCAGAGCCGGCCTCGTGAACTAGCATCAAGAGCCGGCCTCCAGAGCTGGCCTCGTGACCTAGCATCAAGAGCCGGCCTCATGACCTAGCATCAAGAGCCGGCCTCGTGACCTAGCATCAAGAGTCGGCCTCGTGACCTAGCATCAAGAGTCGGCCTCGTGACCTAGCATCAAGAGCCGGCCTCATGACCTAGCATCAAGAGCCACCCTCCAGAGCTGGCCTCGTGACCTAGCATCAAGAGCCGGCCTCATGACCTAGCATCAAGAGTCGGCCTCATGACCTAGCATCAAGAGCCACCCTCCAGAGCTGGCCTCGTAACCTAGCATCAAGAGTCGGCCTCGTGACCTAGCATCAAGAGCCGGCCTCATGACCTAGCATCAAGAGCCACCCTCCAGAGCCGGCCTCGTGACCTAGCATCAAGAGCCACCCTCCAGAGCCGGCCTCATGACCTAGCATCAAGAGCCACCCTCCAGAGCCGGCCTCATGACCTAGCATCAAGAGTCGGCCTCGTGACCTAGCATCAAGAGTCGGCCTCGTGACCTAGCATCAAGAGCCGGCCTCATGACCTAGCATCAAGAGCCACCCTCCAGAGCCGGCCTCGTGACCTAGCATCAAGAGCCACCCTCCAGAGCCGGCCTCATGACCTAGCATCAAGAGCCACCCTCCAGAGCCGGCCTCATGACCTAGCATCAAGAGCCACCCTCCAGAGCCGGCCTCATGACCTAGCATCAAGAGCCACCCTCCAGAGCCGGCCTCATGACCTAGCATCAAGAGCCACCCTCCAGAGCCGGCCTCATGACCTAGCATCAAGAGCCACCCTCCAGAGCCGGCCTCATGACCTAGCATCAAGAGCCACCCTCCAGAGCCGGCCTCATGACCTAGCATCAAGAGCCACCCTCCAGAGCCGGCCTCATTACCTAGAATCAAGAGTCGGCCTCGTGACCTAGCATCAAGAGCCGGCCTAGCATCACGGCCTCTTCCCCTCTCTAACCAATGGAATGGTTCCTTTGCTTAATAGGGGTGTCGCAGGCAGCTTTGAAGCGGTTCTGGTTCTCTCTCTCTGCCAAGGTTCTCGCTCTGATTTCCCTGCTGTTCCTGTCTGATTTAGAATGCCGTCTAATCTTCCTCAAGATGATCTAGCTTGAGCTGCTGGACAGCTTTGTTCAGCTTTAAAAAGTAAATTAAGTACCGGAAGCCGTTCAGTGAAATCCATCTCCATTATGAGGTGAAACAGACGATCAGCAGGTTCCAGGTGCTGCTGCCCACCAGAGAATTTCTGGCAAAATGTCAGACAAACAGGAAGCTGCTGATGTTTTCTCAGGTTTGGAGTTTGGCGTGAACAAACATAAGAAGAGGGACCTAAAAATCTGAAAGCTGCTTTCCATCCTGAACGTTTCAGCACCAGGACCTTCTGGAAAACCGCAGAGATGCCTAAAAGATACTCTCACATGAAAAGAAACCATGAATTACAACAGCATGGAGGATTAAGAGAAAAGAGATTTTTTAAAAAGAGGTAATTGATCTTAAACATGAATAAAAAAAGAAAAGTTAAATATTCCAGATCAATCAGCCAAACATTGGTTCTTTGATTCATTATGTGAGAAAACAATCTGCATGAATCCTGCAGGTCAGACCTTAAACTCAGAGTGAAGACAGCCAGCCTACTGTTATTACAGTGAAGCATAGAGAGGCTGATGGATGTAAATCTAGTTGAACGGCTCTAACTGATCCCCACACTGACCAAGCCTCTCCTCCATCATCTACACATTAAAAACCATGAATAAGTTCCCATAGATCCTCCACTGGCTGTTTAGAGCCTTTCAATGAAGGGAAACGTGTCTATTTATTAAAACAAAAGCTCCTTCCTGAAAAATGAACTCCTCCAAGCAGACAGGCATACGGAGGCCAAGAGGACGTCGATTAGCGAGGCCTGATAAATGGAAACAGCGCTTTAGAGAAGTGCCCTGGTAAAAGCATTAAAAATGCAAAGCAGGATCCTTTTAGCTGCTGCCGCCCTGCATTGGATGATAAATGCTGCTCTGAGGAGTCGCTGCTGTCTGAGAAAACAGACCATCCCTGAGAACCCCAGCAGAGTGTCGAGCTCATAGGAGGAACTCTCTGGAACGACTTGGAGGAGAAGCGGTCACAGAGATTCATTTATTGCTCTGACCGAGTCCTGTTGGAAGCCCAACCCCCCGAGCCGCCCGATATTGATCTAAAGAGAAAGCTGTATGAGAGGATCCAAGTACCAACGACCGAGGCAAGCAGCATCCAGAGAGCAAAGACCATCAGCCGTGCCTGTAGATTCTGACTCGGACCGTCCTCCATACCTGTAGCTTCTGACTCGGACCTGAAAGCGTTGCATGGCTTCGGGTGGGATTGGGTTGTAAAGGGTGTCCCTTCATTTGTTAGAAGGATGCAAATCGCAAACGTGGAGGAAAAAATGTACGTGCTAAAATTTCTACCAAAAATTTTTTATATTTCTGTTCATTAGCAAACATTTTCACATAATTTTCTTAAACTTCAGCTGCATGAGGGCTGATTTGGATAAAAGGACCTAAATGTAAACAAATAATAAAGGTTTTATCAGCTACTACTGGTTTAAGACGTTTATGAAGGACCAATGATTTGAACAGAGCTGAAATGTTCCTGTTAGATGATTTGATCTGCCCAGATAAATCTAGAGCCTTACGCCGGGCGTACGCTGTATGATGTTTTGCCCTTTTGCGGCCGATCCCCCAGTTGTGCGAGAAATTTTCGATCGGGCCACCTTTCAGACTGATGGTGCGTGGCGTAGTGTACAGGGGGTAACGAGGGGCGATTCGCCGCTAACGACCACCTCCCCATCAGGAATCGTAAGGTCAGGAGAAAATCAAGATGTTTGAAATTCAGTCGCTCAGTGGGTAAACAAGGATTCTTCTTTTTCCTCTCAGATGAAAACCCAGCATCATGGCGGGGGGGACAATGAGTGAAATGGAGTTCTTTCTGTAAAATTGACAGACCGTAGTAGCCATGTTTGCTCAGCCATGTCTTTGTCAGACGTACAGTGTGAGCAGGTAGATTGCATCAGAGCGTCGGGTCACAGTGTGAGAGCAAACATGGTGAGCTGAGAACTTTTAAACCCTGCGGTTTCACCGTACAGTGTGAGCTGCAGCTGCGTGCAACGATTGGAAATATCGTACAGTGTATGCCGGCTTTAGATACAGTCAGACAGTTAATGTGTGTGAGAAGCCTGGTTCTGGTGAACGGCGCTCAGGCTGGTGGAGCTTCAGCGCCGCGGTGCCGAGTCACTGATGGTGTTTGAGATGGGACTGAAAATACGCCTTATCCCGATCAACAGGACCGACTACTGCGATCCGTTCTCCCTGCATATTCAGATGAAACCTGAGGTTTTCTGGGTTATTGGAGCTTTTTTTTCTCTGACCAAACACAGAAGGCCATGTATGAAGTGAGTCAGTGTCACAGCAGGAAGAGGGAAGGTAGAAACGAATCAAATAGATCAACCTTTCTCAGAGGCATTTTGTTTAACGCAAAGTTTAAACCTGTTTGCATGGTCAGAAAATAAGTAGTTTACTGCTGGAAAAGTTAAACCACTGTCTTCAGGTGTTTGTAATCTGTCTGGACTCAGCAGCTAATCTACAGGATGTAAGCTCGGTTTAATAACGTAATCGTTCTAATTAATGAATCTTAAAGCTTACTTCCCTCATCCTCTGCTTTGTTCACATTATGTTGAACTAAAACTTGGAATCAGGCTGAATTACGCTGAACTGAATCATCCTCACTGACTGCACAGAAAAACATACCAGCTTTGAAGCACATTTATAGCTGGTATGATGAGGAAATAAAGAAAAAGAAGAGGAAGAAAAAGTAGAAATATATGAATATAGAACTGAATGCCTCCTATAAAGAAACAAATGCTTCCTAAAAATCTGAAAGGAGATGACCTTTCCTCAGACTGAAGGAGGATCGTTTAACCACTTTTTTATTTATTTATTTTACAAGCAAATGTGATTAATTTGTAGTATTAAGAGAAGTTGAACCATATTGTGTCTGAAAGTTTGATAGAAACAGGTTTAAACATGAAGATGAGTCGTTTTTCTATTAAAGATGCAAAATTAATGTATGAAAATCTTAAAACCAACCAGATCGTGACCTCCGGCCCCTTCTCTGCCTTCCACTCATCAACGCCGCCTGTTTGAACTGATGCCACTTCAAAGTAAATTCATCAGATTCCCTTTTTTTCATCCATGTGCAGAAAATGAGCAATCAGCGTGAGTAGACAGGTGAAGCACCCCTAATCACTCAGCCGTTAGTTCTAATGAACGGAGAGAGGAGGAAGAGGAGCGGCGCTCAGGATGAAGGGCTGCTGGCCTGGACTCACCGTGCCTCCTCTCACTTGCTGCTTCTTGGGCTCAGGAGACATCTCCTGTGGGATGAACTTGATGGGCCCTTTGATCTGTCTCCTGGATCTCTTGGTGCCGTCGGGCAGCGTCTCCATGGCGATGTCAGCTTCGTCGCTGCTAGCCTGATCGCACTCGGAGCATTGCCTGGAGAAAAACACAAACTGTCACCGCACTGGTGTTTGAGTTACTGTCCAGATCCATATATTCTAGATTTTATTGGACTAACAGTGTTTTAGCTGGAAATAAATTGATCCCTCCGGCCAACTTTTCGTCCAATTTTGGACCAAATAATCCCACTACCGTAGTTCTGTTATTTATGGTTTTCATAAAAGAAACTAAACTTTAAAACATCTGTAAGTTAAATTCAAATTAAAGTTGAATTCTTCTGGCTTTGACTCAATGGAAGAAAAATGATGAAGCCTGCGGCTCCAGAGCCACGTGGCTCTTTGCACCGTCTCCAATGGCTCATAATAGTGGCTAAAAGTGATACCAAAAACTAACGTATTATGAAAAATACCTGTCTTAGAAGGCTTAGATGTTTTGATAAAGAATATTTGAATTGAATTTTCACAACAGAGTGACGTGTAAAGAACAAAAAATTTTTTTTAATAAACTTAGAAATCATGTTTTACAATGATTTCAAAAGCTAAAAATATTAATAAATTGCATGTTTTAGATGTTCAAAAAATTAAAAGTTAATAACAAACCACTGGACTTGGTTTTCAAAGTTTCAAAGACGTTTCGCTTCCCAGTCTGAAAACTTTGTCGGGATTATCGTTGAGTTCCAGGCTTTATGGAGTAGCTCATAAAGCCTTGTTATGGCTTAGAAAACAGGTCCACCCCTTCGAATGGGGAGTCACTGAGGTCGTTGTTGGGCTGCAAATTGACCCGCAAGGGGCCCTTGCCACGCCTGGCTTCACAGGCGCCATGTTTGACCACCTGCATGGCGATAAGGGTTGAGATGGTAGTGGGAAGGAATCAGCTCCATCACTGTATTATAGGTTTTCTAGAGCCCACACCCCTCTGTTTAAGGTTGGTTTTTCTTTCTGAACATAGATGGCTTCCTTCACGCCTCTCTCAAACCACCCGTCTCCTTTGTCCAAAATGTGAACATTCTGGTCTTAAAACGAGTGTCCTTTGTCCTAAAGCCTTTGTCTTAAACTTTTTGTCTTAAACTTTTTGTCCTAAAGCTTTCGTCCTAAAGCCTTTGTCCTAAAGCCTTTGTCCTAAAGCCTTTGTCCTAAAGCTTCTGTCCTAAAGCTTCTGTCCTAAAGCTTTTGTCCTAAAGCCTTTGTCCTAAAGCTTCTGTCCTAAAGCTTTTGTCCTAAAGCCTTTGTCCTAAAGCCTTTGTCCTAAAGCTTTCGTCCTAAAGCCTTTGTCCTAAAGCCTTTGCCCTAAAGCCTTTGTCCTAAAGCTACTGTCCTAAAGCTTTTGTCCTAAAGCCTTTGTCCTAAAGCTTCTGTCCTAAAGCTTTTGTCCTAAAGCTTCTGTCCTAAAGCTTTTGTCCTAAAGCCTTTGTCCTAAACCTTCTGTCCTAAAGCTTTTGTCCTAAAGCCTTTGTCCTAAAGCCTCTGTCCTAAAGCCTTTGTCCTAAAGCCTTTGTCCTAAAGCCTCTGTCCTAAAACCTTTGTCCTAAAGCTTTTGTCCTAAAGCCTTTGTCCTAAAGCCTTTGTCCTAAAGCCTTTGTCCTAAAGCTTTGTCTTAAAGCCTTTGTCCTAAAGCTTTGTCTTAAAGCCTTTGTCCTAAAGCTTTGTCCTAAAGCTTTTGTCCTAAAGCCTTTGTCCTAAACCCCCTGTCCTAAAGCTTTTGTCCTAAAGCTTTTGTCCTAAAACCTTTGTCCTAAAGCCTTTGTCCTAAAGCTTTTGCCCTAAAGCCTTTGTCCTAAAGCCTTTGTTCTAAAGCCTTTGTCCTAAAGCCTTTGTCCTAAAGCCTTTGTCCTAAACCTTCTGTCCTAAAGCCTTTGTCCTAAAGCCTTTGTCCTAAACCTTCTGTCCTAAAGCTTTTGTCCTAAAGCCTTTGTCCTAAACCTTCTGTCCTAAAGCCTTTGTCCTAAAGCCTTTGTCCTAAACCGTCTGTCCTAAAGCCTTTGTCCTAAACCTTCTGTCCTAAAGCCTTTGTCCTAAAGCCTTTGTCGTAAAGCCTTTGTCGTAAAGCTTTTGCCCTAAAGCCTTTGTCCTAAAGCCTTTGTCCTAAACTTTCTGTCCTAAACCTTCTGTCCTAAAGCCTTTGTCCTAAAGCCTTTGTCCTAAAGCTTTTGTCCCAAAGCCTTTGTCCCAAAGCCTTTGTCCTAAAGCTTTGTCTTAAAGCCTTTGTCCTAAAGCTTTGTCCTAAAGCTTTTGTCCTAAAGCCTTTGTCCTAAACCCCCTGTCCTAAAGCTTTTGTCCTAAAGCCTTTGTCCTAAAGCCTTTGTCCTAAAGCTTTTGCCCTAAAGCCTTTGTCCTAAAGCCTTTGTCCTAAACCTTCTGCCCTAAAGCCTTTGTCCTAAACCTTCCGTCCTAAAGCCTTTGTCCTAAAGCCTTTGTCCTAAAGCCTTTGTCCCAATCCTTCTGTCCTAAAGCCTTTGTCCTAAAGCCTTTGTCCTAAACCTTCTGTCCTAAAGCCTTTGTCCTAAAGCCTTTGTCCTAAAGCCTTTGTCCTAAACCTTCTGTCCTAAAGCCTTTGTCCTAAAGCCTTTGTCCTAAACCTTCTGTCCTAAAGCCTTTGTCCTAAAGCCTTTGTCCTAAAGCTTTTGCCCTAAAGCCTTTGTCCTAAACCTTCTGTCCTAAAGCCTTTGTCCTAAAGCCTTTGTCCTAAAGCTTTTGTCCCAAAGCCTTTGTCCCAAAGCCTTTGTCCCAAAGCCTTTGTCCTAAAGCCTTTGTCCTAAAGCCTTTGTCCTAAAGCTTTGTCCTAAAGTTCTGTCCTAAAGCCTTTGTCCTAAAGCCTTTGTCCTAAAGCTTTGTCCTAAAGTTCTGTCCTAAAGCCTTTGTCCGTAGCCATAACAAGGCCTTTGTTGGGCTACTCTGTAAAAGTCTGGAACTCAACGCTAATCCAGACATTTTGAATTGAAAAAGCTTCCTGGATGGGAAGCGAAAAGTCTTTGAACTTGGAAACAAAGTCCAGTGGATTTTTTAAAAATCTTTCTTTGGAATGACTCTGACCTGGATGACTGAGAATCTCCCCCAGCATGTTGTTTTAAATGGCAACAAATTTCCTATTTAACAAAAATAGTAGGTTGTGTTTTATGGAAAAAGTCATAGAATATTTTGCGATGCTAAGCTCCTTTAATTAACCATCTGCGGGGCAAAATGGCTCTTTAGATAGGAAAGGTTGCAGACCTCTGGCCTAGAAGCTCGACCGTGAGAGGTTGAGAAACGTCAGGCAGACGAACCTCATCGGCAGACTTCTATGTTCTAGCAGGAAGCAATCTTCATGATTGCCTCTGACTCTTCATTCACTCATGGCTCATCAATCAAATGGGTTCAAACCAAAAAAGAATCCGTTTCTCAGGCCAGCATCATCCGAACCCTGAGGACATCCTGAAGAACAAGTGGAAGGAAAACACTTTTCCATCTTTTTAGCATAGTTCTAGCTGCTCTCTAATGGCTCTGGGTTGTTAAAAGTGGAGAAGCAGAGGCATTTAATGTCTTCCTGAGATAAAGTGCAGCAGACTGTGGAGGGGGAAGAGAGCCGCTGACATTTCTACCATCTCTGCATCTCTATCTGATAAGACGGAAGAAAAATGTCAGGAATAATACCAGAAAAATGCTCTGCAGAAGCCACTGTAAGCTGCTCCTTCAGGAAAACACTGATTCTGTTCACAGAATGAAGGAGTTCTGTTACATCAAGGTTCTCAGCTGCTTTTCACCAGGGATGGTTACAGCTTTAGACGGTCATCCTAAATTCAAAACGTCAGAATCAGCATTGGGTTCGAAGCTTTATACTGCAGCCCAAAAACTGGCTATGGCTTAGAAAACATTCAGATGGAACCAGGAGAACGGGTCCACCCCTCAGGAACGGGGAGTCGTTTGGGTTCTTTGTTAGCCTGCAGTACCCGATACTGGGCTATGCCTCTTCATGCAGACGACCTGGTTTCTGAGCATAAACCAGCCTTACGACTGAGGGCCCACAGCAGCAGCTGCGCCTCTAGTTGAGCGCTGGACCGTGAATAAAGTCTGCCTGATGGCAGAGTGTAAGCAGAGGGTTTATTTCCCTGTCAGTTATAGCTGGTCTCCCTTTCCAGAGGATGTAAACACATCAGCGTTCTCTGCAGAGTGAGAAAGGTCCCCGTTCTGCTGATGTCGACCCTTCACCTGGGTGTCCTCCGCAGCGCGTTTCAGCACAGACGCTGCCAGGCTGGAAGCTTCAAGGCCTGAACACACCGACTGGAACAACTTCTTAATCTCTGATCTGCTTTATTTTCCATCTCACACTGACTGGCTGCATATAGAGAGGCTCCGACTAGGCAGGATGAGCAGATACGCTGCTCTGACCTACTCTGTCTGCTCCTCCTTATTCTGGTTTCTGTGAGGCTCAAAGAGGATCACTACTTTATCTGTTTTCTGTCCTCATGAACTCCTATCATGGGACAAGTTTTCTATTTAATGTTTCATTCACTGTTTTTGCTCCAGTCTGTCCTGCTCACTATAAACGCGATGTGCGACTCCAAACTGACTCTTTCCCCGTGAGATTAACAGATTTTATTTCATATTTTCCCTCAAAGTGGAGGTGTTTTACTTTGTAACCGCGTCTCTCTTCCTGTCAGACCCATGAAATTGCTGCTGAATTGCTGCGTAGTCCGACTAAAACAGACCTGGGGTCTATCTCAGTCTGAAATCATGTCGGGTGTGATCATCCCCATTGACTTTCAATGAGCGCTAAATACCACGACCTCTACGGCAAGACTTTCTGCATCGGATTCTGTATTTTCTGGCCTTGAAGGGGTTTAAACGCCGTTTTTTTTATGTTGGGCCCTTGATTTTACGTTATTACAGTGTTTAGAAGACTTTGGTGGGAGAGTCTCTGACCCTCGAGGGTTTTCATGTGTGTACATTTTTAAGCGTGGTGTATCCCACTTAAAAGGGGACACCCTTTTTTTTACATTGGGTCCTTGATTTTCCGTTATTCCATCATGTTCTACTCACCCATATGAGTTTAGTGTCATTTGGAGCTGTTCTGAAGATATTCAGTTAGGTTATATCCAGTAACGTCTTCCTATGGGCAACGACTTGAAGGCACAAACTAAACTGTTCATCATTTATCATTTATGGTACGCCAGCATTCAGAACATGGAGGCCAATCACTGTCCCCCAGACATCCGCGTTAGATTTTTTATATTTTTTTTAAAACAAAGCGGAGTGTGTATGACATCATCAGCGCGCCGGACTGGAGTTGTGACAGGCAGCCTGGGCCACAGGCGGCTACGCTCTACCCCTTCTATTCATTCTAGCTAATCTGAATCGTTCATTTGGAGAGCGAGATCATCTGTGGTAGCAGCACTAGACATCTTCCAGGCATGTGAGGAAAACTAGCAGCAGTTCAGCGGACAGGAAGAATGAACGGTAGCCGGCGCGTACTGGCTTTTAGTTATCAGGCTCCTCTCCTGTGGAACCAACTACCAGTTTTAGTCCGTGAGGCAGACACCCTGTCTACTTTTAAGGCTAGGCTTAAAACTTTCCTTTTTGATAAAGCTTCTAGTTAGAGTGGCTCAGGTTATCCTGAGCTATCTCTATAGTTCTGCTGCTATAGGCTTAGACTGCTGGAGGACATAGGGACCCCCTTTTTCATCATTCTGCTTCATTCTATCTCTATTCTCCCACTCTGCAGAATCTGTTAGTTCAATCTCTAACGTTCTGCTCTCTCTGCTTTTTCTCATAGTAGCTTCATCTGGTCTGTTCCTGTTTGGCTGTGACTCCATCCTGGAGAGAAATATCAGCTGTGCTGCTGCCATCAACACCTTTGTTTCTAGATGTTGGAGCTTGGCCTGTTTTCCAGTGTAGTCCTGTTTCTCTGACTGTGACTAACTAGATGTGCTCTCTTCATCCTCTGACATGGGAGCTGGCTCGGAGCTCGTCTGCCTGGCTGTGTGTTTCCTGGACGGGGCCGCCTGTGGAGCTGGTTGACAGTTGCCTTTTGTGTCTATGCTTCTTTTTCTATGTCTGCTTCTGTCTCCTTGAACCCCAGTGGGCCTCAGCAGATAGCCGCTCACACTGAGCCTGGTTCTGCTGGAGGTTTCTTCCTGTTCAAAGGGAGTTTTTCCTCTCCACTGTCGCTACAAGCATGCTAAGTGTGAGGGATTGCTGAAGAGTCAATGAGTCGATGCAATCAGCTGGTTTTCCTTAGATAGAAAACTTTGAATCAATCTGACTGGATGATCTGGTGAACTATAAGGTGATAAACTGAGATGACGTGTTTTGAATTGGCGCTAAAGAAATAAACTGAATTGAATTGAACAAAGTTAGGAGACATTTTGGATCATTTTAATCCAAGAGACGAGTCTGACCACGCTTTGGACAATCTGACATCCCCACCTCTAATCCATCATTATAATCTCTGCATGTTCTTGTTTAACCAGCCCGAACAGAACAGAATTGACGTGTGGATCCAACCTGCAGCGTCTGACTGAGCCTCACCAGTAGCTGTTCTTGGTCTTTTTGGGCATCCGTGTCAGAGGAGGCTCCAGGCAGCCCAGGTGATAGTAGAGTTTACACGTGTCGCACAGGACCAGCAGATGTTGGTCCTGGTTTTTCTTACAGATCCCACAGCTGCAAGAATAAAACAGCAGCTAGATCAAAGAGCACATTATTGCCCAAAGATAGCAGAACTTAACCCAACCTTCAGTCGAGCTTAAAAACTACTTTTTAAAAACTAAACTTTGTCTTAAATTAGGGCTGCAACTAACTGATTAATCAATTATTCGAAAAGATAGCCAAAGGTTCTTTAAAGAAGACTTGTAATGGAAACAAACCAGGTGAAAATCAAACTTTTCCAGTTGAGTTCTGGATGGAGCAGATTAAGACACAAAAACATTTTGTTTTTTGTTTTTTTATCTTAAATGCAAACTTTTTTATTTATAAATTTTTTACAATTTTGATATAATTCCTGCTCTAAGTGGGTCGCTCTGTCAGCTAAAGGCGTGTTTTACAGTCTCTATATTCCGGATAATGATGAATCGATTACTGAATTAGTTGATGATGATTTCAATAATGGCTTCATCTGATTAATGGTTTCAGGCCGGGTTTAAATTGAGGAAATTCATACAATGTTACAGGAGAAGTAAAAACTGTAAACTGAAATAACGGCTTTAAATAGAATATAGAAGAGTTTTCAGTGAATCTGCTGTGTGATGCTATGGCGTAACGCTCATTTTAGAAAATGGCGACCTGAAAGGACGACAGCCTTTTAGCTTAGCCATCTGGGCCTGGCCTGGGCCGAGTTTTCCTGAACCTCTGAGGCGCCTCGTCTTTCATAAGTGGAGATAAACAGAGATTACCGATTAGGGAAAGAGTTTCCAGCTAAACTGTTTGTGTTCTTGATGATTTTTGTTCATTTCATACGTTTTACTGTTGAACGAAGCGAGCTAACAAGAAGCTAATGGTCTGGAGTGACAGCTTTAATGTCTTACTCTTGTTAAACATGATTGGACTAAAACTGAGAGCTTCTGCGATTTGAAAAATGGCATTTCTGCGATGCTCCGTGATGTAGCGTTGTTCTGTCAGATCAGCATACCTCGTCAGACCAGTGTACTTATAGTCAATTAGCATGTGCAAGACGCCAGATTTGCCTTTACTTCTTTAGTTTTGTCAAAAAAAAGACTCTAAAGTACCTCGACGGGCGTGTATTCCTTTAGTCATGTACAACAAAAAATATTTAACATTGTTCAAAAAAACACCAAAGCAGGTAGATCGCATCAGGGCGTTGTGTCGCACAGGTTGAGAACAAACACGGTGAGCAGTTAACTTTTAAACCCTGCGTTTTCACCATACAGTGTGAGCTGTAGCTGTGTGCAACGATTGAAAATATCGTAGTTTCTGAAAAAAGGGCGGTGTGATCAATTTTCAATGACGACATCTGGAACGGCTCTTTTCCTATAGCTCAGATTTCTGTTTTTTCCTTATAGGCGATCAGAGAGAATGTTTGTTTTCTTCACCTGTAGAGAATTGCTGGAAGGCTTGAGGACTTCCCTGGAGTTCCTCCTTCCTTCTTGCTTGGCTTCCTCTCCTTTGGAGCTTTCAGGATGGCCGGAGTGTTCAGCTTCTATATAAAGGAAGAAAAAAAACACTACCATTCATTCATACAGGCCAACAGTGTGTGGCTTCAGTTCTTCCTTCTGTCGACATGCCGATTAGCAAGGCACTTTAATCTGCTGTGCATGAAAGAGTGTCAGCTGTGAATGCAGCTCTAGAGTCGAGTGCTTTAGGTGTCAGGATGACTGGAAATCATTTCAGCAAATAAAAAGGAATACATTTAGGCCCCGTCCACACGAAGATGAACCCTGGCCTAAACGCACAAATTTTTCACCAAACCAGCCTCTCATCCACACGAAGCCGGCGTTTCGGGGGTCTGTAAACGATCTTTTTTTTATTCAGCCTTCAGAGTGGGAAGATTTCGAAACGCCGTTTTCGCGTTTCCATCTTTACGCTCTAACCGCATTTTTTTCTTACACGCCTGCGTCATAGCGTCGCCTCTAAACACGCATGAGCGACACACTATCACAACAACAATGGCGCCGTACTGTGTTGAATGGTTGCTGCTCATGCTCCTCACCCTGCTGTCAGGCTTACAACAGAATCTTCTTCTTCTGGAATATCTCCAGGAAGAACAGAGCAATATCGACCACATAGTTCAGCACCTGAATTTGACTGAACCACGAAAATGGACCCGCAGGGCAACCATGTATAAATATTAGTGCGCACGCCCAACATTTCGTCGCCTATTTTTGCTTTGGCACCACAGCGCCACTTACAGGCCTGGCATACATTTTGCAGCGTTTTCATGCATTCGTGTGGACGCTCACATTTATTTTACGTCTCCGTCTTTACGGCAAACGTTTTGGAAAATATCAGCGTTTCGTGTTCGTTTTGACTTCGTGTGGACGGGGCTTTAAAGTCGTAGTGAAGCGGCTTTTCCAACCGTTGCATTTCCGAATTCTCCAGAGTGGTGCCCGACTTTACACCAGTGAATAAAGTGAATGTGATTGGTTGATTATCAAGGGGGCGGGATTGTTGTGGCAGAAGGTTCACAAGCATTTTGGTTGTCGCCGGTTTGTGGGAAGCATCTTGCTAACCAGTTAGCATCTTAGTGCTAGCAGGTTCCCAATGGGAAATTCCATTGGGACCAAGTAGCACTAAATTGGTGACTTAGAAACGACGCTGTCAAGGAACGCTATGGACAGAGGAAACATGCAAGAGGAGGAGAGTTTAGTGTCAGAGGTCGTGGATGAGTCTCCTCCGTCTTTTTGTTTTACAGTTGTGTAAACAAAATGACAAATAAAATCTGTCTAAAGTCTAGAAGTCTAAAATATGATCTGATAGAGTATTTATATACACGTATTCAAGGCAGAATGATTTGAAATTTAAATATAACTTCCCTACGACTTTAAAATGTCTGACCGATGACCTGCTAATTTTTATATAGTCTTGTCTCGTTGACGAAAACTCAAACTCAAACCCATGACTATTAATGTTTTAGCCATCAAAGATCCACCTTTAGCTCAGTTTTCATTATTGTCATTAATAAAAGGAGCATCAACGAAAAGATTTCGTCGCCCTGGGCCCGATCAACAACACTGGGCCCGACGCTCTGATGCGATCTAACTGCTCTCACTGTACGTCCAGAAACCACACGTCAGGCTCAGCCCCGACAGATGGCGCTAGGCGGACTCGTCAATCTTGAAAAACAAGAAGGAGGACTCCCTTGTTTGCACGTAGGGCAAAAAGGCAAAAACTTGTTTAGTGTATGCCTGCCTCAAGATGGCTATATGCTAAATTGCTTTTTAATTAAAAAATCTGCCAAGAAGTCAGACGGTGACTTTCTCTGTTTGGCCTCGACTCACTTTTACTGCAAACTTCAGTATCTGTCTGTAAAACAAAACCAGCAGAAACTGAGGGGAAAGGAGGCCAGAAGCTGGGACCTTATTGCAGGTCTTATCAATGCCTGATGTTTGGGTCACCTGGGCCTCTATCAGGCCTCCCCTGCAGCAGGGCTCCCGGCAGAGCAGGCCGCCTCAGATTAGGAGCTCCTCTGGGGAAACCTTGTCTGTTTAGTGACACACTCGGTCCCTATAAGATACGTTTTCTAATTAACCTTCACGGTAGCACCACAGCTGAGATCTACATGAAAATAATCAGACTTTCTGCTGTCGTCTTTCATTGGCCTCACACAGCAGGTCTCACTTATAATCTGACATGTAATTGAACGCAGAGGCAATGAATACTCTCCTCTTATTCAGTTTGTCTAAATTATCCATCAATCCAAAGCCGTCCTTCACACTTTAAAGGAAATCCTTCTTCACCTAACAGAAGGAAAAGCTTTAAATATGAAATGTTTGTTTGCATTTTTCTGTGTTTGAGAATGAAGTGCTGTAGGTGTGGAACGATATGTCGACTTTTTATCAGCCAACTGGACACCAGTTTGACCAGTCAGAAAGGACCTGATTATTTAGTTTGTTTCTGAATATCTAATGATTTTATTTGGATTTAATCTTGAAGGACACCTTGTCTGGTGACCCTGGTGACAGCTACGTAATGTTCAATTCAATTCAGTTTATTTATATAGCGCCAAATTCACAACACATGTCATCTCAAGGCACTTCACAGTTCAACCAGATCATAAAGTCAAATTGATACAAAGTTCTCCATCTAAGGAAAACCAGTTGATTGCATCGACTCATTGACTCAATACAATCCCTCACACTAAGCATGCTTGTAGCGACAGTGGAGAGGAAAAACTCCCTTTAAACAGGAAGAAACCTCCAGCAGAACCAGGCTCAGTGTGAGCGGCCATCTGCCGAGGCCGACTGGGTTCAAGAAGACGGAAGCAGAGACACAAAAGCAGCTGTAATAGGCGGCCCCGTCCAGGAAACACACAGCTAGGCAGACGAGCTCAGAGCCAGCTCCCATGTCAGAGGACGAAGAAAGCACATCCACCCAGTCACAGCACAGCTGATGTTTCTTTCCAGGATGACGTCACAGCCAAACAGGAACAGACAAGGCAAAGCTACTCTGAGGAAAAGCAGATAGAGCAGAAGGTTAGAGATTGAACTAACAGATTCTGCAGAATAGGAGAACAGAGAGAGAATGAAGCAGAATGATGAAATGGGGGTCCCTATGTCCTCCAGCAGTCTAAGCCTATAGCAGCATAACTATAGAGATAGCTCAGGATAACCTGAGCCACTCTAACTATAAGCTTTATCAAAAAGGAAAGTTTTAAGCCTAGCCTTAAAAGTAGACAGGGTGTCTGCCTCACGGACTAAAACTGGTAGTTGGTTCCACAGGAGAGGAGCCTAATAACTAAAAGATCTGCCTCCCATTCTACTTTTAGAAATTCTAGGAACCACTAGTAAACCTGCAGATTGAGAGCGAAGTGCTCTGTTAGGAACATAAGGAACAATCAGATCTCTGATATAAGATGGAGCTTGGCCATTTAAGGCTTTATATGTGAGAAGGAGGATTTTAAATTCTATTCTTGATTTAACAGGAAGCCAATGAAGAGAAGCCAGGATAGGAGAGATGTGATCTCTCTTTTTAATTTTCATCAGAACTCTGGCTGCAGCATTTTGGATCAGCTGAAGGCTCTTAACTACAGTTTGTGGACTTCCTGATAGTAAAGAATTACAATAGTCCAGCCTTGAAGTAACAAATGCATGGACTAGTTTCTCAGCATCACCCCTGGACAGGAGATTTCTAATTTTTGCAATGTTCCTCAGATGAAAGAAGGAAATTCTAGAAACCTCTTTGATATGGGATTTAAATGACAGGTCCTGATCAAAAACAACACCAAGATTTTTTACTTTATTATCTGAAATCAGTTTAATCCCATCCAAATGAAGTGACTGACTAATCAGCTTATTTTTCAAAGACTCTGGTCCAAAGACTATAACTTCTGTTTTGTCTGCATTCAGAAGCAGAAAGTTAAGAGTCATCCAGGTTTTTATGTCTTCAAGACATGCCTGTAATCTATGTAATGGGTTAGCTTCATCTGGATTTATAGACAGATATAGCTGGGTATCATCAGCATAACAGTGAAAATTAATCCCATGCTGTCTAATAATTCTACCAATTGGGAGCATGTATAAAGTAAATAGAATTGGTCCTAGCACTGATCCCTGTGGTACTCCACAGGTAACCTTTGAGCATGTTGAAGATCTATCATTAACATGAACAAACTGAAATCGATCAGATAGATAAGATTTAAACCAGTCTAGTGCTGTTCCTTTAATTCCAACAAAATGTTCAAGTCTTTCTAAAAGAATATTATGGTCAACTGTATCAAATGCAGCACTAAGATCCAACAGGACGAGCACAGATACAAGTCCATTATCTGAGGCCATGAGAATATCATTAGTGACTTTCACCAGAGCTGTTTCAGTGCTATGATGAGCTCTAAAGCCAGACTGAAACTCTTCAAAAAGTTCATTATGGTGTAAGTGATCGCAAACTTGCTTGGCAACTACTTTCTCAAGAATTTTGGATAAGAAAGGAAGATTGGATATAGGTCTATAATTAACCAAGTCATCTGGGTCAAGAGACGGTTTCTTAAGCAGAGGTTTAATTACAGCAACCTTAAAAGCTTTAGGTACATATCCCTGTAACAGAGATAGATTAATCACATCTAAAATGGAGGAGGAGATCAAAGGGAATACCTCCTTAAATAACCTGGTTGGAACTGGATCTAACATACAAGTTGAAGGCTTAGATGAAGACAATAATTTTGCTAATTCAGAGAGTTCAACTGGATCAAAGCAGTCTAAACCCGGTTCAGATTCCATGACTACCTCAGGTACAATCGCGGATAGAGGAGTGCTTATGATCTTATTTTTAATAAGATCAATCTTATTTATAAAGAATCCCATAAAATCATTGCTGCTAAGAGCAGGTGGAATGGACGGTTCAACAGAGCTATGGCTCTGGGTGAGTTTGGCAACTGTATTAAAAAGAAATCTAGGATTATTCTTATTCTCCTCTATTAATGAGGAGAAGTATGCTGCTCTTGCTTTACAAAGGGTCCTCTTATACAGCAGTAAACCATTTTTCCAG